GGTAGATGAAGAATGTGGATCATAAACAGAACCCAGAGATGCTTGCCTTCGCAAAAGTCACTGGACTGATCTCTGAATCTATCGCTGTAGAAATACTTGGGTCACTGTAATTTTTCCTTTTGTATTTGTTTATTTTTTCTCTTGTTTTCTTTCTTCTCTTATTTTCTGTTCCCATACATCATTTATGCTTACCTTTTCTTTATTTCTGAAATTACTTCTGGATCGTCAGTGGCCAAGAAGATCCTCCGTTGAGCAACAGGCTGTCGCAACTCCAGCTGTTTGTAGAATTCATCCACTTCTTGCATGTACACACTGAGGTCAATGTAAACTGCCTCTCTTATCAGCTTGTCAGACCGTCGAATCTGCAAGCTGAAATGTGGGGAAGTGAAATAGCCTCTATGTATAGAGAAAATAGCGTTCGATTTGAAGAAAACTCAGAAGACGGCAGCACCAAAAGGAATACTCGAAGTCAAATAACATAAATATACAGCATAAAGCTGAAAGACAAAATTACAACGCAATCTATGGAAGACCATATAATAAGGGGAAGCCTTCCATAGACCACTGGCTGATACCCAAGTTAAATCTGCCTTTGCTTTTTTTTTTTTTTTTTTTTAATTGAGAAGAATCTGACGGGTGTTCATACCAACGTTTATGCGTGGCGTATGAACCTCATTCATATGTCAAATGTCAATCTTGAGAATATTCACCCTACGACAGGAGACTCGTAACCCATTTCTCGCGCTTGGTTATCAATGTAATCCTGGAAATCCTTGTTCGTCCTCATGGCGTACTTGAAGAACTGGCCCATCCACCAGGCAAAAGGATCTCCGTGGAGGCGCACCAGACGCTCGGAAATGTCCTTCGGGATTGACTTTGGAAAATAGTTCGGCCTCGGATTCGGTCTGTCCCAAGCAGGGAACTGCACCACGGGAGAATCTTTCTTCCCTGCAAGCAGAATCGTGGGAAGGGAACTCCTAAAAGAATCCTATGGGCTTTCGAAAAATATTCTATCACAAAAGTACATCAAAGGTTTGGGGACATCAAATTACATTATTCATGCTTAGGAACTACTTTATTGTCAAGTCTAAGACCCTTCAATTGTTTCATCACAGAAAGACTGAACAATCAACAGGGCTTTTGCATGCCCTCTCACCTGGCCAAGCAACCATCTGAGACTTGTTGTAACTTGTGCAAGTGTCGCTGAGAGGAAGGAAGAACGTCTCGAGTCCTTCGGGATTGCCATTGTAATTCTTCGTATCTAGAATCAAGGTCCGCTGAGTGCCATATGACGCCAGGAAGCAGTAGCTCAGGTGGTGTAGTTGGCTCCCTATCCCTCGCCCCTGTAATGGCCATAGCCACAGTAATTCGAGAAAGTGTTATTTTCAAGACTATCTCGTGTCCCGAAGTTTAAATGGAGATTCCCCAAACACTCTTACTGAAATCTTACATTTTTTTTTCATTGTCATATAAAGACAATATTTTCCGTGTTCTTGTTTTATCTGGAGGTTAAGACACGGCAGAAAAAAATACTAAACAACGGAACTACTTACGGCAGCTTTAAAGTCACAGTAGATCTTCTTAGCAGAGGCGCAGTCGGGGGGATTCTGCAGGATGTGCAACCGGTGCTGCACGAGGGCGCTGAGGGCAGCGGCCTCTTTTTCTCTCCATTCGCGAAACCCGTCGACCTCGTTAAGACGCGTTAGGTCGTGAGAGGTCACTCTGACAACAGAGGAACTCGTCACGACTCTCAGTCATCCAAACAAGCCTAAGCGAGTTTCGGTGTGGTTCACTTTGGAATTATTCGAAAGATAACCTCTCAAATGTGTCGGAAAAAATATCACAGGATTGCACAAACGCAAAAAGGACTTTTCAACAAACTGGTTTCGTGACATGGAATCAGATAAGATTAATCATAACAGCAAACAAGAAAGATAAAAATGAAATGTCTACCGGCAAGGCATTGCACATACCAATACTGAGTCTCTAAGTTTCTCCAGTGGCTGCCTATCCGCTAACCTCCTATATATATACACATCCTCAGACTATGGCCCCTACAGGGTTCCCTAGGGGAGATTGACCCCAAATTTGGGAACTGACCTAAAGTAATGTTCCAGATCTTCAAGAACGGTGGTAAGATTGTTATTGCTAGAGCTGAGATTCCTGAGATGGAATTTCAAGAACTGCCAGGTGTGACGCACGTCCCTTCCCACCTGTCGACGCATCTGCTCGGCCTCCATGAATGGCTCTGGCATCTGAGCGGAAACAGCTGCAATAGGACGTGGGTGCTGGGTGAATTTTTACACGTGTATCGTGCATCAATACATACATTTGCAAGCAAGACAAATAGGCCTACGTGTACAACGACACATGCACACACATATATACACATATATGTAGCTCCTGTAAGACCACATACATATTTAAGTACTTGCACACATACATATATACATATATACGTAATGCCCACCAGAACACACACACACACACACACACACACACACACACACACACACACATATATATATATATATATATATATATATATATATATATATATATATATATATATACATATACACATACACATTTACGTATGCACATGTACAGTTGCCTAATTCTTACTCTATTTATATTTTTCATGTTATGTGCAGCTTGAATGGATTGGAGTAATTCTCATTAGAAACTTGTTTACTAAGTCTGCAATCTTACTTTTATTCATGAATGTCAATACAATATCTACGAATAGATATAACAAATTGGTTGTAGATATCTTGGCATTTAGTGCTGGGTGGAGGGCTTTGTGAGCAGCAAGGGGAAAGGGGAGGCTGCGTCCGAAGCTAACAGCATATAGCCGGAGAGGACAGGTGTATGGAATTCCAGTAAACTTCATTGTATATCATGCAATAAGTAACAAAGGGGTGGCGTTGCATTAGATATTGTTATGAATGTTTTTACCATTAACATGCGATATACTGTGCACACTCTTAAGCACACAGTTACGCGAACTCACTCAAAGCAATTTCTTGTTTGTAAGAGAGAATTCTGTTCCTTCCTTTGTCAACCAAATATTTAGAATTTGACAAAAATCCTAATTTTTGGACATGAGCATTTATACTAACGTTCCAATGCTTTACTGGATTTAAATATTTTTAAAATCTAAAATAAAAACTAACAATTTGACGCTTTCGTAACACACACAGACGCACAAATATATTTACACATATATTTAAGAGTTACTTCTTCTGTCGCCTAACGAAAACGGCTGTACCAGATAAGAGCGTAAGAAAGTACATGTATGTGTGTAGTCACACAGGTACATACATGCAAGGTCTATATAAGTACATATGGTGCGTTCGGAACTGCTCGTCTATCTCGTCCAGACCAGTTGGACGAGATGTTTTGACCGTTCGGAACCTCCACTATCTCGTCCCGGACAAGTAGTCTAGCTCGTCTAGCTCGGCCGAGCAGGACGAGATGACGTCACTATAGATTTTGTGTGTAAACATTGACAGTTGCAGGTAACCACAAGATATTGGTGGGTAATTTTATGACCCCTAATTGGTGTTATCAAAGGATATTTTTGTGTTTGTCAGTTGCAGGTAAGTTAAATGTGCATCAACGGAGTTACAAAACCTATGCAGCGTGTAAAATAAAGACACCGGTATGCTAAAAAAGCGAATGTTTACATTCGAGCCTGTTGCATTGTGGGCAGAAATGGTCTTGAGGTTCCGAACGCGGCGCATCTCGTCCTGCTGGTCCTGGACAAGTTGTCTGGACGAGATAGACGAGCAGTTCCGAACGCAGCATTACATAGACCTTGCACACATGCAGACTAGCGGGGATCTGCGATGTCCCAGAGGAGGGAGGGGCGGGTCCTTCTACGGGAAGGTGGCAGGAGTGGCTTTTCCTTGGATTTTTTTTTTTTTTATTTCTTTAATTTTAATTTTATTTATTTATTTTTAGCCCATACGGTCATTGTTGGAGCACTTGGGGAGCAAAATGTTTTTTTTTTTCTTGGTGTGTGTGTGGGCGGGGGGGGGGGGGTAATGCTGTGAACGTGAGATCAGCTGTAAGTAGGAGAACCAGGCTTTCAAAGTTGCAATGAGAAAACCTGGTACTAAAATTAAAGGGTAACTAGGTGGCAATACCCAGTATATACTTATGCAGAAGCACCCATTTCTACAGAATAATGCGCATTGCCACACGAAAGTACACACGTTATTACATCATTCCACTGTTGTTGTTGTTATGATTGTTAATGTAAACATTATTTGCATTGGTAGTAGTAGTAGTAGCATTATCATCCCATTATCATATTATCCATCCTATAATTATTATCACCATCCCTATCATTATTATTATTATCATCTCTTTTATCATTATCATCCCTTTTATTATTATCCTCACCATCCCTATTATTATCATTATCATTTTCATTATCATCCCTTTTATCATTATTATCATTATCATTATCATCATCCCTTTTATCATTATTATTATCATCACCATCCCTATTATTATCATTATCATCATTCCTTTTATTATTATTATTATTATTATTATTATTATTATTATTATTATCATTATCACAACCATTTCCACTACCTCTGCCATCATCGTCATTATCATCATTACTTTTATTATTGTTGATACCCGAAGAACTCCCATCCAAGTGCCTCCGTGTCACTGAAGAGCTGGAATAGAGGGCAAAATGCGAATTTCACTGCTTATTCACTTGTTTATCTGCTTATTTTATATTCAATTTTGCTTTATTTGGCAGTTGACCCACTTTATGTAATTATTTCTTTTATTTATGCATTAGCTTACTTCATTTACTTTTTTATGAACTTTTTTTTTTTTTTTTTTTTTTGTAAATACTAGTTCACTGAAATTTTGTACTATTCCAGTTGTCCTCATTCTTACTCAAGTACTCATGAAATATTCACTTTTCTACTGCATGTATTCCATGAGTATACTTAACTTTCTGTACAGTACGCACTGAGTACTCACTCTCGCACTCATGTACTCATTGTGTCGCATGTTTGCTGAGTCACTGGATGTATTCACTCCCGAATGTCATTATTTGTGCAATGCATTTTGGCGGCATCATTTTCATTTGATCGCTCATTTTATACACTTAATGATTTTTCATTAGATTAAATCATTCAGTTTTATACACGCTCACCCACGCTATAAACAGACAATGAGTACTCCTTATTCATGCCATGCACTCATTGGATGAAGTTCCCCACTTGCACTGAATTATGAGCTCGCCACTCACTCATTCACGGTGAGTAATCACACGCTACTTACCTGACCGGGTTTGTATTCGACCGGGAGTGCATCGTCGAGTAGAAGAGCAGGACAAGTAGGGAGGCGAGACACAGCAGGCTCTTCAGCTTCCCTCTTGCCATCTTAAATACAAGGCAATGCATTAGTTGCATTCCAAGCGAGGCGACAACCCCGCTACTTTCAGCCCGCATTTTGCGGTCATCTCGTTCACGTTTGCTTTGGCTGAACGCTTACAATATATCAAGTGTCTATAGACTGTGCAGAACAACCCAAATATTCATGTAATTCAGTTACAGCATTTAGAAACTTTTAAATACCGGTATTTGAACTATTGAATATGGATTGTTTTAAAATATTCGAAATTAGCATTTGCAAATGTTCAGACAAAAAATGGCATTCCATGCGAATATGAAAATATACATTCGTCCTATTTCTTATAAACACACAATATATATTTGCATATATATACATATATGTGTGTGTGTGCATATATATATATATATATATATATATATATATATATATATATATATATATATATATATATATATATATATATATATATATACATATATATTCATATACATATATGTATATTTGTGTGTATATATATATTCATATATATATAAGCTTATACACACACACACACATATTTATATATATATATATTATATATATATATATATATATATATATATTTATATATATACATATATATTATACATACATACACACAACACACACACACACACACACACACACACACACACACACACACACACACACACACACACACATATATGTGTGTGTGTTATATATATATATATATATATATAATATATATATATATATATGTATATATATATATATATACACATATATATACATATATACATATATACATACACACACACACACACACACACACACACACACACACACACACACACACATATAATATATTATATATATATATATATATATATATATATATATATATATATATATATATACGCTTTTATATGTGTGCGTTCTTATATAAGTAAATATATACATATACATATATATACATACATATATGTATATATGGTTATACATATATATATATATATATATGTTTGTGTGTGTGTGTGTGTGTGTGTGTGTGTGTGGTGTGTGTGTGTGTGTGTGTGTGTGTGTATTTTTATTACATATACATATATATATCAAAATATATATACATATATATATACATATATATATAAAATATATGTGTGTGGGGTGGGGGTGTATCCACCTACACATTTTATTTTATCTTACTTCACAGACAGACACTTACTTCACGGTTCCATGTGAACATTCCGTGTGTAAATAGACTGCCCCTGTGACACTAAGTGGCAGAAATAGGGCCTATTAAACAAGCATACCGCCGTAAGAGTGGTCTTGGAAATGACACAAGCATTCTCATAAATATGACGTTGTTTTGAAATATGATTATGTATATTGCATATAGAAATACTCTGTATCAGCTTTCGTTAACATCAACAATTTCTATCTAACATATCAATAAAGACATTGCAGTTGTATAAATCCTTAGCACAAGATCAAGATAAAAATAATTCAAACGGAAACGGTCGTAACGGTTTTTAGGATGAGAGACGTTTTGAAGGAATCCTAAAAATTGAGAGAAAAACTGCTTGTGTGACTTCGAATGGCCAAATGTCAGTATTTAATCTGTTATCAACTTTGGGGGGGGGCATTATTACGGTTTAGTTAATTGTATCCACTATGATTAATTATTAGCACTTATTTTCTTTCTACGGGATAATTTGTAAAGTTATGAAATCATCTAACCTGAGGTCCTTTTGGGGAAAGGCGGGAGACGGTCTTGTGAATTTAATCAGGGGACCATGATCAATATCCGTGTATACAAATATCGTTTATAATTAAGTAGAATGATCTAATCTTGATATCAATAACTCAACCTTTCTTTTGAATTTAGGAATGACATAACAGAATGAGAGAGGTAGAATCATGGTTACTCCACGAAGCCACATCCATCACTCGAGAAGAGAGAAGGGGAGAATTAATCATGTGAAACTGCATGATCAAATAACCCGCAAAACAAACGAATTATCAAAGGGACTTGTGAAATTCATAAGCTAACGGAGTCAGAATTATTTGGAAAGTGAGATAAACCTGAGCATAAAGAGAAATTGTAAATAA